ATAAGCACATCTTTGTTCTCCCTCGCCCTGGCGAAACGAGAAGAAGAATCTCTTTATGAAGAGGCAGCCACTTGTTTGTGAGAAGGTATTGATCGGTGCACAATGTGTGACGGCATTGCTGCTCGACTCAAATCCATTTTGTGGATTCCTCTCAAAGGCGCTTTTGACTCGGAAAGTTAGGATTGCCGCTATGTTTCGGTTTTTAATTGGCCGACTCATCCACAAAGCGAATGCTTTGTTGCTTTGTTATGACGTGATTCCATACATTTTCATCATGACTCGAACCTCGCATTGAGAACAACTCGGGCCTGAGTGATTCATTGGCCAAGGTTAACAATTTTAAAATCTGCAAAACTCCACTGTGCGAGACATTACCACATAGGACAAAAGATAATGACGTTCAAATGTTCCCCACCAAAAAAGCTGCAAAAAAATCGTCTGGTTTTTTTTTTTTTTTTTTTTACACATTTTTCCTCTCATCTCAGTTCTCTTAAACAGAATGCTGTTTTTAAAAAAAAAAATTAGCCAATTCATTTTATTCTGCCAAATTTCAGAATCAGCCAAAAAAAAATCTGGTCAGACGTGGATAATAACTGTCTCTAATTTGTTTTCCGTATCCAATATGGTGTTTTGGTCACAGATAAAAATGGCCCCATTGCGCAATAATCTAATTGTAACATGCATTTGTTACATATTTTGATGTATTTTTATACTTCATAAAAACATTTATGTCTGAATTTTGGGGGGTTTGGAACGGATTAAGGGCATGAACATGGAAAACGCGTCTCTACTTCAAAAATGTTCTAGTTAAGAAATTTCTTCCCAAACCAATTAATTTCGTAAGTAGAGGTACCACTGTAATGAGAACCTACATCAGGATTTTTTTTTCTCAAGTGTTTTTATTAGTCTTTAGGCATGAAAAAAATGGCAACACACATCAAGGTCCATTGACACACAACTGTGATGTTAAGATGAATGAATATCAGAGAAAACAACATTTTCAGCTGTCCCTGAAAGGGTTCAAATGTTTGCCGTGTCTGCAGATGACGACCTTGGCGTGAATTATTTTACTGCGCTGGCACTTAAGACGCACATAATGGCTTCTTAATGAAAGGGCATAACGTTGTATCCAGGTTTACGTTCTTCATAAGTCAAGAAGGGCCGCCCGCCACAGTATCTGGGCGCAGGTGTGATCAGACGCAATTTCACCTCAAGTACTTCCTCCTAAGTAGTCCATAAAACCTTCCAGGCTCATTGCATCTTTTAGCCCCGGTAATCGGGGATTTGCGGAGGGATTTATTTTGTTTAACCTTTGTAGTGAAGCGACACATTGGCAGCGTAAAAATTCTGGCGCGCTCAATTTTTCAGTTTCTAATTTGCACATTTTGCCGAGCGACTGTGAGCCATTCCGGCAGCTTTTCTTTGCGGCGCCTCCTTCGAAGGTGTAAACATCTTATTATTTTAGCAGGCAGCTTTCGGGAAATGGGGAGAGGGAGTGAAGTAGGGGGGGGTGGGGGGGGGTTAAGTATAGTTTACGTGCCAATAGCAGGATCACTTAGAGCGAAAAAAAGAAGTCTACAATACAGATGATCTCTAATTTGTACTATTTTGCATCACGATTTACATTGAGGTGGTGAATGTCCAAACAAAACAAAACAAAAAAAAAATGTTTTTCCATATTGTAACGAGGCACAACATGCTTCAGGTTAAATGCGCTTTTCGCAGAATGGCCAAACCACACCTTTCATGCAAATTTTAAGCATGATTAAAGTTCAGTGACATTGATTTAAATCAATATTTAACTTTATTCATGATATTTAAATTCCACCGCATACATTAGAATAACGAGTAGCTTGTATCAGCATGTGTCTTATGTGTAAATGACATCATTATGGTTTTTTTTTTCCCTTTTCCTTTCCATCCTGTATAGCTCCATTATTTATAAGAGCTGTTTAAATGAGGTCCAGAGGTCAGCACTGTGTCAATTTCATCATGCTTGATTTTAAATATTAAGATTCTTCGCGCCAGTGTTTGCATAAAGATATACAGCAAATCTGCAGTCAAATGCTTTTTTTTTTCTTTTCAATAATGAGCTTTGGGCTTCTTTTCTGGGGGGTGTGTGTAAGGAAAAAAAAACAATAAAGAATCATAGGCCTTTAAAAAAGATTAAACATCATCTTGGGATGTGGTTTTGACTTCAATGCCTGTTCACCGCCTTGGGCTTCTTTTCTGGGGTGTGTGTGTAAGAAAAAAAAAACAATAAAGCATAGGCCTTTAAAAAAGATTAAACATCATCTCGGGATGTGGTTTTGACTTCAATGCCTGTTCACCGCCATAATCAAGGCAGTGCTCATCCGCTCGTCATGAGTGGCAGAGGAAGAATTAGCCCGGAAGCTCGGAGCAGCTTGCCGCAACCTTCATTCTTAGCGTTGCATCATCCGCGGATGGGACGCGTTTCCTCTAATTTCATTCACAGGACTCGTTTCATGCCAAGACGGTACCCGGAGCTGCAAGTAATTGCGTTAGTTGTCACTGACGGCCAGCCCGGTGAGACTTTGCTTCGTTTAAAGCAACGATATGTCATAATTGGAGCTCTAAAATAAAAGGAAATTCCGAAAACACCATCTTGCTTGAGATCAATCGCTAATTTAATAAGCTAAAGACAAAAAAAAAAAAGAACAGACACATTTATGATGCTCTCTATGATTTAAAAAAAGAAGGCTACGTCGCTGCCGACAGCCATCCACATCAAAGTCCGTGCGCAATCCGATCCCCCCCCCCC